GTGTTAGATTTCTTAGCTCTTTACCATAGACTAGTGTGCATATTGGAAGACACTCAGGAATTTGGGAAAGGAACACAATAGACTGTGGTGAAGGAGTATGGGTGTGGTAGTAGGGAGTGTGGTGTAGTAATAACTCCTGGAGGGGAAAATTTCATACATCTAAAACTAATGTTCACGAAAAAAAAGAAAGGGAAGAATTTTACCATAAAACAATTCATTTAGTAGGATCTATGGTTTTGTACTTCAAAAAGCTTAATGAAATTAGACTCCAAGTGCAAGATAGTTCATACTCTATTTTTATAATTTTTAGAAGATTTATTTCTTTATGCATACAGAACTAGGGTACAGGCCAGAGGTGTAGGGGCAGTAAGGAGATCCATCAGAGGCATAATGGGGAGAAGAGCAGGCAGATTGACAAAGTACACTGCTGAGGGGAGCAGTGAGTGAAAGAGGGGAGGACTGCTGCACCATGTGGGTCACCTCCCTGGCCGGGGATTGAACTCATGCTGCAGTGCCTGTGGCCAGCTTCATAGTGCTGCTCTTTAACCTGTTGTACCACCAGGGAAGGCCCAAGATAAGTCATACTTTAACAATATATTTATTTTTTTATTTTAAGATTTTTATTTATTTATTCATACAGAACTTGGGTACAAGCCAGAGGTTCAGGGGTGGTGAGATGATTCACCAGATACAGAGTGGGGAACAGAACAGGCAGATCCATGAAGGGGAGCAGCAGCAGGTGGGTCAGGAGAGGTCTGCCATGCCATGTGGGTCACCTCCAGGTCTGGGGATGAAACTCACACTGAAGCAGCTGTGGCTCACTTGCAGTGCTGTGTCCCAACCCACTGCGCCACCAGGGAGGGCCAAAGATTCATTTATTTATAGATTTGTGAGATTTTCATAGGATTTTCTTAATTCAATTTATTAAAAAATATTGGTTGATAAGTTAGTAGTAAAGCATAGAAGAAACATAAAGCATGTGTTTGGTTTTAAGTCCATGCTCTGTCTCTTGGGAATCTGAAATTCTTATGTGGCCTCTTAGACCCTGTCATCTGTTATCTAGTTACACATCATTCTATGTTCACTCAAGAATCCTGCCACAGTAAATTTTTAGGCTTGTCAGAAAACTATCTTCTATTTTGTCTCCTGTGACCTAGAACATTAATAAGGCAGCTGTTTTTTTCTTTATGTATTATTCTTTATCAATCCTTCCATCTGGACAATGCTTACTTAAAATACTATTTTAGAGAAAATATTTTGATCTCTAGGCTATAATAAAAACATTTTTTATAGACTCAGAAAATCTTTGTTTCCTCAGTTATCTCAGTTATCCTAACCATAATTCATAGTTATTTTCTAACCATTGATTTGATATCAGTTTCTCTTTATAACTCCAATAAGGAAAGATCTATTTCTGAGATGCTTCTTGTTATATTTCCAGTGGTTAAGCACAGTGTTTAATAGTAAGCCTTTAGTTGAGCTTTGCCATCGAATGAATTCACCAATTCTGGAAATGTGCTTGAGGTACTTGGGGTGGTTCATTATATATTCATTTCTACATTATCATTTTAGAATGAGTGAGTTCTTTTAACCCCATTACTAGCTAGTTTTATGATTTTGAGCATGTTACTTCCATTCTCTAGACCCCAGCTCATCAGTATATTGATAAGCTCAGATTAGACTAAATGATTTGATAAAACAGCTTCAGTTCTAAGTGCTAAGTACATCAATTTTCAGATTACCAAAATTTTAATGCTGGCTACTTTATTAAAACTAAACAAATAATATAGGTGGAATATTTTTAGCCAAAAAATAGTAAAAGCATTTCTTGAAGTACTCCTATAAACCATGAGGGATTTTATAATTTTAAAAAATATCTGGGTTCATTTTTACACATGTGCACTACATGTCTTCTATATTTTGGGTAGAGAAATTCATCAATATTCCAACCACTGAACCTTTTCAAAACTTGAAATGGAAAAAAAAATCTATATTTCAAAAACAGTTTTCACAACATTTAAGTGTTTATGGAACTGTGGCTAATTCTGTTATGAACTTTACTGTTGATTTTTTTTAACTGTGTTTGAAAAATGAATATTCATTATTATCACGATGACTGTGAACTATGATATGGGGATTCTATGTGAAGACATTTTTGTCACTCCTTACTTAATAATTTATCAGAGTTTAATGGTTTCCTTCCTAAACCAGCATTTTGAAAAGGACTTTAAAAAAACTATTTCAGAACTATTTATTTAAATAATACTTATGCTCTTTCAAAAAAGGTTACAGTAATACTTAGAGAAACTTTTAATTTGTAGGTAATTAGAAAAAATGCTACAACTCTTTAGTTAATACTCAAGGAATATAATTTGTTGGAAGGTTTAAGACAGGGTACTGAAACTAGTAATTATTAAGCAACTACTTAGTCAATATTTTAATAAGTAACTTCAAAAATGAATCATTTCTTGTGAAACAATGTAATTTATCTTGGACTGAATTATGTCCCCCATTTTTACTCAACACCATAAAATTATTAGTCACATATGTAATAATACACCACTACTTTTTGCATCTTTTATAAAGAATATCTCTCCTTAATATTCAGTGACTTATAGCATATTACTGCAGAAAATATTGATTATCTCTTTCTTACTGTTCTTATCCTCTTGTTTGCTTTACTCTTGGTAGCAGTTATTCAAAAATAATTAAGTTTGATCATATCCTTGATCTCTTTACTGTCTGTCAAGCATGATAAGACCTATGTGCATAACTACACATAAAGTTTTTAAAAAGTGACAAATACCTTAGACAAACACAAATCAATTTAAGGATAAATATTTTACATTTCCATATACTTGTTACAAAACTTTGAAACCTTCCGAGTTCCTAACGCAGCATCTTGCATGAAGAACATGGTTAATTAATAAGGTCAACTTTAAAGATGAACCTTTTATGAAATTAATTTGTAAACCTATATCTATTTATTGAAAAGCATTCTTTTAAGCCAATGAGATATAAAGTCTTCAGCCTGAAAGGCATGATATTTATATCTAAAATAATATATTTTGTTAAGCAGAGTGTAAAATTTCTCTTGTGAAGATCTTCTATTGGAATCTATTTTCTGAGTTTGGTTTCAAGGTTCATTGTACTAAATCTTATCTGAAATTCTACCATCCTGTTTGTTTTCATGGAATGTTACTGCCTCTATTATATTAGTTATCACAACTCACAGTTTTTGAGGAGTCACAATTCTTAGGAATCTCAGCTCATGAGGTCTTTCTTGCCTCTCTGGGTCTAACTCACTAAAGGGAGAGAAATCAATGAGTATCAAAGCTTTGGAGAAAGCAATTAATATTATCTCTTGAAAACAACCATACTGTGCTATCTTCTTGTCCATTTTAAAGCATTTCTGAATTTAGTCAGCTTTTGACAGATTTGTTTTCAAAGATTGGTTTTTCTTCCTTTTCACTAATTAAATTTCCCTGAAGATCTCAAGATTGAGTAAAATTGACTTTCTTTTGATCTTGTGAGTGATTGAGGTAAAATGAAAGCATAAGTGATTTATAAGGACCCCGGCTCCTCTAAGAAATGATTTAATATTCAGTTGTAGGGTATATATTGGTCATGATTCCAGTTACTTTACAGTCAACACTTTTTCAACTCTTAACCATCTCCATTACATTCAGTAAAGATCTTCCCATCACTGGCTTAATTTTTCAGAAGTTTTACTTATCCTCCATTGGAAGATACCTGGTTGCAGTTCAAAGAAAAAGGATATTATAGAGTCAAAAGAAGGAAAAAGATAGTCCCATTTACGTTCTATATGCTAGCAGTTTGACTGTCTCACTTGTGAGTTTTTCTTGCCATTGAGTCATTGCACATACAGAATTATGAAACTTTAATTTCTTTAGAGGCTTGTTATATTAGAAAAATTGTTCCAAAGAAAGCAACAATCATGACATAAGCACATCTGGCTCTTGCAAATTATTCTTTATTAAGCTTTCATTTAATTACATGTGCTGAAAGGTCTGTTTTTGATTACTGTAATTTTTTTTATTTGTCCATCTGAATGATAGTAATGCTGGAAATTACATACAAACCACCTGTTTTTTCTCCCCTACTAATATGGCAAAGTTTGAGCTATTTTCTCTATGGTTGATGAACTAGGAAGTTTTCCATTTATTATGATGACTGTCAGCTAATGGCTTAATCTTGATGACAAGAAAAAAAATATTTGAATAGAATTTTCAAACATTAAATAGTTGAAGATAGTATCTGAATTCTGCTTAACCATAGCAGATTATTCCATTCACTTATTGCCAATTTCACTGAAATTGTAATAAACAACAATGAAAGATTTAACTAGGAAAAAGAAGCTTTATTGGCCACAAATATGGCAATATTCTCTCGAGGATTATGCTATATGCTACTTAGAACGAAGGCCCTGAGACAAGAGTGACTATCAATGGGTCACAGAGATCTTGTCAGCAATAATTCTGTCTTGCAGAGGGGTCAGCAAGCCCAGAGTAACTCTTGGTCAACAGTATAAAAGCTATGTTTCTTTCAGGAACCCCTAAAATAGTTCAGATTGATTTCCTAATTCATTAATATTGGAGTTACATGAACAAACCATACTGATACTTAAAGAACTTTAATAAAGATTTTTTGGACAGTAGAAATGAATCTTAAAGACCCATTTAGACATTTTTTTTTGGTACATTTGTGGAAACTGAGTTCTAGAACCCATCAAGTTCTTTGTTCAGAGTCATAAAGTTAGTGCTAGAAGGATCAGGAGTGGAATGGTGATTCTTATACCAGTACTCTTTCTTTCTGTTATGTTATTTGGTCTCTCTTATTTTCATCTTAAAAAAAAAAATGGAGAGTTACAAGGCTGTCAGAGAAATAGTTATCTAACAATGCGGTAAGTTGTTTTATTTTTTTTAAACTCCAATTCAGCTGCATTTAAAGAGATAATGTTTGTCTTCCCTGTTTTGCAGCAGCTCTATGCCGCTCAGCTGGCCAGCATGCAGGTGTCACCTGGAGCAAAGATGCCATCAACTCCACAGCCACCAAACACAGCAGGGGCAGTCTCACCTACTGGGATAAAAAATGAAAAGAGAGGGACCAGCCCTGTAACTCAAGTTAAGGTACTTGCTTTGCAGGATTGTGGAAACAAGTTTGGAAAATAGCTTCACAAGAAAGTAGTGAACCAGGCTGTGTTGGGAATAAACAGCAGGAAACATAGTGACATAAAGAAACCATAGAGTGCTCCTCTTTATGGTAAATTTCATGATGGAACACTGAGAAACAGGTGTTTCCCTTTTGATAACAATAGTGCCATATTGTGAGATCTTTACCTAAATCTGCAAACTCACTTCTCAGGAGTTTTTCCCCTTTGGATTCTAGCTTTCATTTTTTAATGTTCATTGGCATGAATGGCCATGGTTTTATTGCTAGTCTTTGTCATAGACTTGTGACACTTCTCTCAAAGTTCCTTAAACAGGTGGGGAACTGACTTAGAGTAGCAGAGAAGGAGAATCTCAAAACTTAGGGTTTAAAAATCAGGGGGAAAGTGCCAAATACTGGGCTCTAGTCCTTTGATATGTTGATTAAGCTCTCTGGTGTCATCATCTGATCATGCTTTATTACCATACAGTTGTAATAAGATTATCTCCCAGGTTGTGACTAGGGTGTGAATAGCTGTCTTTCCTCACTGATTTTTGTGTCTTAAAACTGGGGGAGTAAGGAGGTTCTGAGTGATAGAAGGAAATACTCCAACTTTGTGCACTGTAGCACATTGATACTACTATTGATGGTTCTCATTGTTTTTTATGATTACCTTTGCTTCCTGCATCAAATTAACAAACTCACACAGTTCAGAGTATCAATTCTTCTGTACAATGACTTATCTGTTTAGAAGGCTATGCTAAGCACAGATGTATTATCATAATGTACCCAGAGCACTGTACTTGGAAAAAATTTGCGATTATTAAATCTTTGCATGGAAAAATCTGAAACTAATAAAATGGCATTGAGTGCCACAAAAAAATCCCTGAATTTTTTTTATTTTCTAAAATTTGCAGATAGAAATTTTGGAATTTTAGAAAGTTGTTTAAGTAATATGAAACCCAAATCCAAAGAAAAAAAAAGGCGGGGGGGGGCAGGGGAGAGTTGTTGTATCCCACCCAAAGGAATTCATTTAATGCCATCAATGCTTAGTAACCAAAGAAATAAATTTGTGCTTTGTTATTGAGATATGGAGATGTAGAGGATTATAATAGCCAGTTTACATTTAATAAGATAGCATTACTGTGGAAACAGATTACCCTTTTATATTTCAAGAGTTTCTGATTGTGAATAAGAGTCAGAACAACAACTCAAACCAAAGCACTTTAATTGTTGTTAGCAGATGAGTATGTCAAACATCAGTGACTTGAGCTATTGAATATTAGATACTTAAACATGAAGAAGTCATTTTATGAGTGAGCTGGCCAAATGGAACTTCCCCAAACCAAGCCTTTCTGGATGAATAAAATGTTCCCTGGTTAAATTCAAGTTTATATCTGTTTTTACCATTCCAACTTTGTGGGCCAAATGAATTTTATTACTCACTTGACCACATGTAAATTTTCTGGGAGTTTTCTATATAATTTCACTTAACTACAATTTATGCTAATAACAAAGGAAACATTCCTTATACATATTAGATTGGTGTTTTGTACGCTGATAAAAATACATAGACCAAGACAAGGCAAAAGTTATAAATTAAAAAGAAAAAGCTCTTCTGCCAATTGAAGCAGTTCTGAATAATCTCATAATTTGCTAATTGAGTGAATTATGTCATGAAAATACTCCATTTCTATTTATAGTCTTTGCTTTCCCTCTGACCACATGTTATATGGCATAGCTTGCTGAAAGTAATCAAAATAAACATATATGAGCTTATGTGTATTTTTTTGCCCAGAATTTTTATCTACTGTAATTGTCAACATCAGAAGGCAAAATGTCTCTGCCCACATATTAGTTTCATCACTTTCATAAGCTATGTCTCCTTGGGCAAGTTGCTTACTTTCTTAAACTTCAGTTTTTCCTCTGTTCAATAGGAATTATTGTTATGGGGCTTAAATAGGATGATAGAGTCTCTAGTATAAAGTTAGTAAAGTAATTAAGGTAATGATCTGATGGTAATAAGGAAGGTGGTGGTGATGATAATCTCAATTGTGATAGAAACATTTAGTTGTGTATGGAGGGAGTACTTAATAAAATAACTAGAGGACTTCCATTTACCATCATGATGGAGGAACATGGATCAAACTTTACTCTCCTAGCTTCAACAACTAGAACACAGAACAGAGGTCCCTGAGAGAATAGAGCTATAAGCACTGCATTTGCTATTGCTTACATTTTAGAAGTAGTTTCCAGACAGTAGAACAGGGAGGGATACCCCAGGGCAGCCTCCCTGAGTAAAGAGATATTCTCAGTTTCCTCTGATGGTTTAGTAGAAAAGAGACCTATAATTTGAAGTCCCATAAATTCATATTCAAGTTTTGTCCCTCCATGTATGGCTTCTGTTAAGTGATTTTATCTTTCTGACCACAATTTTTTCCTTTGATAGTCAATAAATTTAGAGTAGTATAGTTCAATCTTGATGGCCAAATTAGCGAACATATGTGAAAGCATCTAGCAAGTGCTCTGTGCACAGACTACTCTGTACATGTTACTTTTTCTCTTTTCTGGTGTCGCTTATTGTATCCTCTTAAACAATGACCATTAGAATTAGAAGAATCCTTAGAGATCAGGTAGAATCAGATTCTCTTTCTCCACAGATGAAGAAATTGCATCCCAGAGAGGACACATGCTTGCTATGGGGCGAGTGTTTTGTTACCAAGCTCTATTGTGTACTGAAAGCAGTGACATTAAAAGCTAGTTCACTGTGCCTCCTTAGAAGCAAACAGGAGTTAGCTTTTGTTGATAATTTTATTTTAGAATACAATGATACAGGTCTTAAAACTGAACGTTAAAATGAATTAACTCAGATTGAAACTAAATTTCTACAAATGTTATAACCTTTTATGGTCAGATAAATAAAGGCAAGGAGCTTAGCTTTCAAGCTCCTGGCTAACTTACAGTTGCAAACCAGATATCTGAATACTGTGCTCAGTATAGAAGTACAGGCATCTTAAAATAGACATTCTGTAAATATAGGTAGCAAAGAATATAAAGAAACATCTCTTTAGACATGAAAAATAAATTGCATATAGCTTGCTATGTAAAATATAATTATAATGTGTACTTGCTCTTTGCAAAAATTAATTTTAAACATGAATAGAGACCAGAATATAGACCATGAAAAGTGCCCACACCCAGAAAGCCACATAGAAGCCGTGCTGTGGCGTGTGGCTCCCTGGGCAAAGACCCAGAAGATCAGAAGAGGGTTTTCCATGTTTCCATTTTTAAAGCCTCGCAATTGTTTGATTTAAAATATATATTAAAAAAATTAGCTGCAGAGCCTATTTATAGTTTCAGGAACTTTTCATCGAGAATAACACAAAAGCACTACAGACCTACTGAAATTTTAAATAATTCTTTGTAAATGCCCTAGGTTAATTTGGATCCCTGAAAACACATTAGGAAATTAAGCTGTAATGTGAGCTAATTCAGATTTTAATTTGGCAAAAAGAATGATCCAACTACACAGTTAATGTAAATAGAAGCATAACACAGGGAAATTAATGAGGTTTCCTTCTGATGAATCTTCAAGGAGGTAGATAATTAGCTTCTTTTGTTATTATTGTAGGAGAACGTAGCATTGTCTCTGAGGTGTAAAATAACTGTGGCTTACTAAGTGATAATGTGCTTCATTTGTCTTTTTTTTAGTAATTATTTATGTTAAACTCTTGTAGGATGAAGCAGCAGCACAGCCGCTGAATCTCTCATCCCGACCCAAGACAGCTGAGCCTGTAAAGTCCCCAACATCTCCCACCCAGAGCCTCTTCCCAGCTAGCAAAACGAGTCCCATCAATCTGCCAAACAAAAGCAGCATCCCCAGCCCCATTGGAGGAAGCCTGGGAAGAGGATCCTCATTAGGTAAATGGAAAGGCCAACACCAGGAAGAGAAGTATGAGTTAGGTAAAAGAAAACGAACCTGTATAGTGATGACTGATCCTTGTTTCCATAGTATTGCGTAGTCTGAGCAAATATAAGGAAATTATACAAAAAAGGGTAAAATCTTTCTTCTGAAATATAACCCAATTTTGTATCTTAGGTGATTAGAAATTTTACAAACATTCATACTATAAATCTTACTGGGATGAGTTCTTTATTATCTTATAAAAAGATTTATTTATTTATGCATACAAGAGCTGGGGTACAGGCCAGAGGTACAGGAGGTGAGAGGATTCACCAGAGTCACAGAACAGAACAGAATAGAACAGAACAGAACAGAACAGAACAGAACATGCAGGTTGACTGAAACATACTACTGAGAGGAGGAATGGGTGAGGAGTGGTCAGCTGTGCCATGTGGGTCAGCTCCCTGGCCGGCAGGGATGGCTAGCAGTAGCTTGATAGTGCTGTGTCTTTAAGCCCTTTGCCACCAGGGAGGCCCCAAACTGTATTCTTATAGGTAAAATTACCTGCTCACACCCACTCAGCAGAACCAAGACTAGAATCCATGTTCGTAGACACATAATAGTGCTCTTTTTGTGAACTCACAGTTGGAATGTTTGCTGAAATGTGCTGAGTCTAACTGAATCTTCTGATGGTGAGATGTGATTTTCCTCAGTGAAATCTGGGACATTAGGATTCATACAATATCCTATTCTCATTTTGAATCAGGATGCTTCTTTCAGGGGCTCGCAAGTTTTCACTCCATGTCGGTGGTATCCCTGTGAAGGAGAGAAGTGAATTAGTTCCAGCGTGTTAATATGATGCTGGATGGTTAGAAGTTGTGAGATGGGGATAAAATGAGGATAAATAGTAGACTAAAAGTTGATCTTGAGATGGACCTCTTATAATATGCTTCTGAATTTTGTTTGGAAAACGTGTTTGTTATGCTGAGCCTCATAAGGGATAAAGATGCCTGTGTCCCAGGTCCTGCTCTTACAGAGTTTGTTGCAGTAACACATATTTTTAGAGCATGAAGTAGAGACGGATGGAAAGATGTAATAACACTCTTGTCCAGGCAATATTGGGTCTGAGTGCATAGAAATGGTTTTATTTTTTTATGCAAGGCCATTTGAAAGTTTAATAATGAAACTCCTGCATACCTGTAGTATATTTGTGGGAAATCCAGTGACTCCCCCAGATGGCTGTGGAAGCCATCTTAAAGTAGGTAAGAGAGGGAGTTGGGGGGAAGAAAGGGGAAATTTAGTTAAGGAGTTAATCAGGAAAATAAAGGCATATCGATTTAAGTTTGCCTTGTCCAAGGAAAATAAATAAAGATATTAGGTGTTCCTAGGGGAATTTTACAGTAAATCCCAAAAGCAACTCCCAGCCAGCCTTTAGAGCCCTTCCTATGAAATACGTGTTTTGCCAAAAAGACATATTTTGGGGTGATAGATTTTTGCTCCCTCACAGCTCAGTCGTTGGAATTTCTCAATAAATTCTGCAATTTAAAAATTAAGTTATTCATTTATTTTATAAACCTGTCTTAATCCTGAGAATAGATCAGTCCAAATAAGCACTGTGTTCAATTTCTGGAGACACTATTGTGTAAGCTGTAAAGGTATACAAGTGTTTTATTTTCAATTATAAAAGCTCCAGAGTAAAATTTATAGGTTTTTTTTTTTAAGTCTTACTTGTCACTGGTTTGCAAAATCTAGCATTTGGATATCCTAAAAGGTGATTGACTTTTTATAAAGTTTCCAGAAACCTTCAGAATTTTTTCTAAATTCAACCACTTATGCACAAGCATTACACACTCACTTGCATGCGAGCTTGACTGTAGTCTGGTTTCCTCTGTTCTATTTGTATATATAAGATGTATGCACAAACACACACAGCTCATACCAAGCTAGAAACAAGTGGATCATGTTTAATGTTATCACAACAGCTGAAATCTACCAGTTAACAATTAATTGCCTTCTCTCTGTCCGAAGTTGGAAAAGCTTACCAAAAGTATTAATTGAGTCTATAGGAAAAATCAAGATATATGGAGGGAAATTAGTCAGTTTAATTTAAAATTTTCCCCTCTGTGTTGCACAGAATATAATGAAGGTAAATGTTTATTCTTGCATTATTTGAAGCTTTGTTTTTTGTCTGGAAACCATTCCTGACATAAGTCCCACTTTCATAAAATGAGAGCAGTGGGTGTCCCCATTGGGAGTAGGGAATGGGTTGTCATTCTCTTGGTAAATAACTGAGGCAGCATGATGAGTAGAATGCTTCATTAACCAGCCAGTGATGGGGGAATGGAGAGAGTGGTGTACGGCTTACCACCCCCTTCTCTCCTGCAGTGACCACACAAACAGACACAGATGTCCCCAAAGTATACATGTAGCCTCACAGATTTTTTTTTCTGCTAGGCCAGAAACAGCTTTCTAGTGGTAGCACATCGAATAAAGTGAGTAACCTGAACAGTTATCTCTGAAGCCCTCCTGCTGTTCCACTACTCATTATTAAATACAGCCAGGACACATACAAATACACAGCTGGAATTAGGTAGTGTCATCTGTGTGGAGGTAGATTGATACAACCCAGAGAAACTCAAGTATTTGGGGTATCTTCATCTTCCCAGGACCAAGAATGCAGCACAGGTTGGTTTCCTTGGTTTTCTGTGGTCTTTGCGTAATATTTCAGTGTTCTTAATAACAAAAGTACACTCACCTTTTTTGGAGAATGCAACGTTCTACAGGGGAGTGGTGTTTTTTTTTTTGTACTAGTAGTGGTTTTTTTTGTTTTTTTTTTTTCGAAACTAGCCACACAAGTCTCTCACAGTGCATTCTGTGTATGCAGATATCCTATCCAGTCTCAACTCCCCTGCCCTATTTGGGGATCAGGACACAGTGATGAAAGCTATTCAGGAGGCTCGGAAGATGCGAGAACAGATCCAGAGAGAGCAGCAGCAGCAGCAGCCACATGGTGTTGATGGGAAACTGTCTTCCATGAATAATATGGGGCTGAACAACTGCAGGAATGAAAAGGTATGACTTGTTTCTCCCCATCACCAGTTGTGCTAGACCGATAGGCTGATTTTCATGCAACTCTTTTCAGGCTCCGAAGCATTAATTTACAGCCAAGGAATTGGACTTCTAGCTTGAGAGCTATCTGGTAGTACAGTCAGCATTATTGCTGATTAACATACACTGCCACGTGGCGTGGGTTCTTCTCAGGTACCCAATTTGTCTGCCTCTTGGTGTCTTTCTGGCCCATTCCCAGAGATGTAGAAATATCTTATAATAAAGCTGATATATGATGTTATTAGAAATTTAAAATATTATAAAAGAAGACATATGCTTACAATGAACACTAATCTGTGATTATGACTCACCATTGAATTTATATTCATTTTCTGGAGTAAAGAATAAAGGAAATAACTTATAAAGTTCATTTGTTTACTTTTAATTTTTGAATCAGCAAATTATTCATTGAGAGCTTATTCTATAATAGACGCTATTCTAGGTCCTGGAGATACAGAAGTGAACAAATCATACAAAATCCCTGCTTTCATAGAGCTTACATTCCAGTGGGGCAACACAGACAATGAAAAAATAAACGATTGAATACCTAATGTAACATCAGCTAGCTATGTTGGGAGATAAATGCATGCAGTGAGAAAAATAGAATAAAATTAAGGGAATAAAGATTTATGGGGTTGTAATTTTAAGTGGGATGGCGAGGACTCTGAGGAAGTAACTCTGAGTCAAGATCCCAATGAAGCAGTGGTGTAGGTCAGCTGAAAAGTAGGAGAAGCAGCATCCTTAGCAGGAACAATGAATGTGGAGGCCCTTCCAGTGTATGGTGATATCACACTCCTGGAATTTGGCCAAGGGGCCAGAGAAGGAAAAGTAGTGAGGCATGAAGTAAAGAGATAGCATAGGGCAGCCACACCAGACTTGGAGCTCCTGGAAAGACTTTGCATTTTACTCTGAGCATGATGGGAATCCCTACATGATATTTTATCCAGGGCATTGACATGATCTGACTTATATATTAGAGGTCATTTTGCCTAATGTCTGAGTTGACTGTAGGAGATAAATAAAGGTTATTGTAGTACACTGGGTAAACAAATTCTGATTACCTGATGAATGACTGAAATAAGCCACTTACAGAAAACAGATGGAGTTATTTTCTAGCCAGAAATTCTTAGTTTTTGTTCTAACATGGAAATGTATAGGGTCACACAAGTGGTATGATGGGCAATGTCCTTGGTAACAAAGTTAGAGTAAATTTTTAAAAGTTTTTCCTCCTTCCATATTTTATTCAGCAAAGCAAGAGAATATAACCCATTGATATTAGGACCAGGAATCTCCTCTGCTTCCATCCTTGCTAATTCTTACATGAATGCTGTGTTAGAGTCTCCATTTCTCCTAAAATTTGTAGTTTAAACTTAGTAAAAGGAGTTTTAAACTAGCACATGGGAGAAGTCATAAGAGAAATATGTGGTCATGTGTGCTATTATTTGAATTTATATGATTATATAGCCATAACCAGAATATTATTTGTTTCCCCATCCCTTCATTTCAAAATGTATGGTGATATCACACTCCTGGAATTTGAGTGCATTAGTTCCCTGAAGCTTTTGTAACAAATGGCCACAACCTGGGTGGCTTAACACAGCAGAAATTAATTTTCTCACGGTTTTGGAGGCTAGTCTAAAATCAAGGTGTTGAAGGTCCATGCTCCCTCTGAAGACTAGAGAAGCATCCTTTCTTGCACCCTCTGGGCTTCTGTAGGATTTTTAGCAGGTTGATTAAATTCTCTGAGTCTCAATTTCTTTACCTATAACATGAAGGTAGCAATCTAGGTTACAATGAAGTCAGATATATGAAAATATACTTAGTATAGATCCTGGCACAGAGTAGGCATTGCCTAATGTTTCCAGTAACTTCTAAACTAAACTATAAGTGACTTTTGAATATACAGATTTACATACTGTATATGTGTGTATACACACACACACAATTTTGTCACAGGTCAAAGATTCTTACACAATAATGAAAATGTCAGCAGAAGGAGAGAGAATAGGTTTTTCTGTTGGCACACTAGCCAATTCACATAAACTCCTTTCCAATTGAGTTGCTACACAAAGCTATGGAAATTTCAGGTTTTGAGGGTTAGGTTAGGGTTCCCTAATCTCAATGTTATTGATATCTTTGTCCAAACAATCCTTTGTCATGGGAGCTATCTGGCTTCTATTCATAAATATCTCAAAATATTGCCAAATGTCCCCTAGTGGGGGAGGGAGGAGAAAATTGCCTCTAGTTGAAAACCACTGGGCTAAATAAAAAGTATATAGAAAGCATACATTTCAGATACTTCACTCCACAAAAACAAATGATTTAATTGAAATGATAGCACTTACTATTAAATTATAAAATAATTGCCTTTGATTAAAGTAGTAGATGTAGTATTTCATTGAAAAATGTATTTAGAAGTTTTTGTATGGCATATTAACATTTGCAGTACTTAAAACAGATTATGTATATGTGCTATTTAGTTTTTTGAAATTATGAAAAAAATCATCTTTCAGTGAATTAATCTGTCATAATAAACAACATCCTAATTCATGGGCACTAAATCTAGTGGTAAATTGATATTGAATATACTTGGCTTCCAGCATTCAATCTCTCGGTGACCCTGTGTTGTTGAATTTTGTACCATGGTATTGTCTCTGTAGATTAGTTCATTGGAGTTACTTTGGGACACTGTAAAAATAATATGCAATGGAAAAGTTGATTCTATTCAGTGATGTGCCTACCAGCCTTCCTTTACATGTACTCTCTCCCAAATAATATCTCTGTTGTGAATATATATTTTGTAGGCTTTGGAAATTATATTTAGTTCCTAGAACTGAGATTTATCCTCACTTGTTAAGTTAGTTCCAATCAGAAGAGCAAATTAAGGAAACTATTAAAGGACTCCTCTGATGGTTTATTTGGATTTCTTATAGTCAAAGTCTTCATCCTGATTTTATGAGTTTTCATAAGATAGTACTTCTGAGGATCAGAATATTTTCTGAGGTGAATAAGAATGAATATTTAGTGTCTAGTAAGATGGGTAAAATGGACTGTGACAAATTCAGTTCAACTTTTAAATTGCCTACTTTGGTGTTTCCTCAGTTTTCTTAAATATGAAGATCTATATATTAGGTATAAAATTTGTTCTTTGTAACACATAATACAGTTTAGATAATTTTTTAGTGTTACTTTTATAAAAACTTAATTAAGACTATGTCATGATTGTCTTAGTTGAACAAACTTTACAAAAGAGTGTCTCACAGATTTGGGCTTCTTGAGAAGTGGCCTATGAAATGAGATTAGTAAACAGGTTTACAATGGGGTCATTCCAATCACCATCTGAGGTAAAGAAAGGATGAAGGAATTGGATTGCTGTGTAGTCTTACCCAAGCTTTAACACTGCCATGGCTATTAGCACTGTCATAACCTGGATGACAGGGGTGAGTTTTTAAAATACATGTGTCAAACAGTTATTGGATGAGGGCTTCCCTGGGAAGGCGACAAGACTTTGGGTGCTGAGGCAGTGTTGAAGAGGGGGTGCTGAAGAGTGCTAGTAACTGAGGTCTACTGACAAGATTGGCTGTTTCTGTTTTAAAGAGGGATCTGGGCCATGCATCATAATGTCTAGTATACAGTGCTTTTGTGACATTTACTAACATTGTATATGAAACATGACGTGTATGTATCATAAATGTGGGCAAACATTTACCATGCAGACACTGGGTGCTTGTGTCTTTATAACATATGCAGACTTGCATACATATCCATATGAATACATGTTTATTTTACCTATGACATAGTTCACTTTACCAGGCAAATCCCTGTTTTGGCATTTTAAAATCAAACAGTATTGACTTGATCAGCCAGAACAGCACCAATAGAGTTGTTCTGGTTGGCTGGATCACCAGATATTTAGGGTCTGTTAAATATATAGATTAAGGGGACAACAGACTGTAACGGCGTCTTAGGAAAGTTATGCTCCATAATTTCAACATAGCTTCTGTGCATGGATTGTGAGTGTCCTGCCAGCAGACCTCTAAACTACTGTCCTGGGTTTTAGCTTTCTATACCAAGAGCACCAGCCATCTCCATTACAAGTGCCAGTGCAATTAGATCATATTATAGGCTAATTGCTTCCCAAATTTTGTTGCTTTGACATTTCTAAGATAGAAAGTATTTCAGTCATGACAATACACAGCAGAATTTTAAACAGGCTGCTTCTAAATGTCCTTAGAGCTAAGCTAAGGGCATCTGGCTAGAAGAAAGGCAAGTCAGAGTTGACCTTTTGAGTGTTAAAGTGTATGTTCTGTAGATTTTTGACTTACATGATGTTGGGATGCAGATTTGAGATTGCTTAGAGCCCTTCCCTTCATAGGCATTATGTAACTTGGGAATCTGGGTCTTTGTCATCTTAATATTTTGATGAACTGGTATTGTTGCTCACTAGAGTTGCTCATAATAAGTAGATTACACATCTATAAACATGTGGCCTGAATTCGTCTTCTCTTCTGAGAATCTTTTCAAAAAAATACTTGATCTCTTGGGGTATCAAAGTGAGCTACTCTGGGCAAGCTTAATATATTCTTCCCTCCTCTTAATAGATCTGTGGAGTGAAAGAATTGGTGGGGATGTGCCATTTTTCTGGTTCAATCACTGAATTCACAGGTTGAAAAACGGATCCAGAGAAAGAACATGACTTTTCCATAGTCACATAGTGAACTCATGGCAGAGTAGTAATTAAATGTCAGTTTATCTAATTTTTAGTCAATAAGATTTCTTAGTCAATAAGATTTCTATGAAATCACTATGCTTATTACAAAATAAGGGTAAAGGGTTAAAATAAATACTATGAAGCAGAAGTCACTGAGCCCATTTCCTGTGTACTTGTCACCTTCTGTCTGGATAGAATGTTCTTTCCAGCCATGATCATTGGTTCTGGGCCAGAGAAATGGTCAGGAGACAGG